GGCTCTACGATCAACATGTTACTGAGGCGCACTACCGATCAATGCTTGGGGAGCATATACAAAAGTTCAAAAGTAGGTCCAAGGAGTCTCAACCGAATCACAAACCTTTGATGGGTGTTCCAGTGGCAAAGAGCAATGTGGGCAGTTACAGAGGTAGGAAACTAGGGAACGATCACCATGGGAGATTCTACGACATGGACACCGCATCGAATTTTGTAGCTGATGCAATCCCACAAAGGCGAGGAAGCTATCATGATTCAGATATTACCCCCAAGTATGTTGATCACATGTTTTCGTAGAACTTGTAACCCTGTGTAATCCCTTTAGTTATCTAATGGTGTTGGGTTTCCTAGATTGACAAGTCAAATTTTGCATCATTTGCAGAATAGCATATGAACCTTCGTATTTGGATATTGGTGATGGTGTTATCTACAAAATCCCCCCAAGTTTTGACAAGCTGGTGAAGTCATTAAATTTACCAAGCTTTTCAGATATTCATGTGGAAGAATTTTACTTGAAAGGAACTCTGGATCTGAGATCATTAGCAGAACTGATGGCTAGTGATAAAAGGTCTGGAGCAAGAAGCCGTAATGGAATGGGTGAGCCTCGGCCTCAATATGAATCTCTTCAAGCTAGAGTGAAGGCCCTGTCAGCTTCAAACTCCACCCCAAAGTTTAGTCTCAAGGTGTCAGAAGCTGCAATGAATTCTGCCATTCCAGAAGGAGCTGCTGGAAGTACTGCACGGACAATTCTATCAGAGGGTGGTGTTTTACAGGTTCATTACGTGAAGGTTCTGGAGAAGGGGGATACATATGAGGTTTGGATCCTGTGACTGTATGTATAGTTTTGTATCCTTCACGGCTCTGGCAACAATATCTATTTGTCCTGACAATTTTTAATGTATCCTTTCATCAGATTGTTAGACGAAGTCTACCAAAGAAGCTGAAGTTGAAGAATGATCCTGCAGTCATTGAGAAGACAGAAAGGGACAAAATTAGAAAAGCCTGGATCAACATTGTTAGAAGAGATATACCAAAACACCATAAAATTTTCACCACTTTTCATCGGAAACAAACAATTGATGCCAAGAGGTTTGCAGATGCTTGCCAAAGAGAGGTAATCGAAATTGGCTCTCATATTATGTCTTTTTCTTCAGTTAGTTTTATTTTATTTGCTTTTCCAAACGGCTCTCTCTCATTTACTTTTACTTTGAGTTCACAGGTGAGAATTAAGGTGGCTAGATCATTCAAATTGCCAAGGAGTGCACCAATTCGCACCAGGAAGATATCCAGAGACATGCTGCTATTCTGGAAGCGATATGACAAGCAGATGGTACATCTTCTATTCTCCTTAGACTCTGGAGTACAATTCAGGCTGCCAACTAAATCTGGTTACACATCCTGCTGCCAGTTATTTTTATCGGACATGCTTTTTGCATTGGATTCTTTCCCCTTTCTCGTAGAGAGGGACTTGACCATACTCGCAACTCTATAAAATTGGCTATAAAAAAGGGTGAATTTATAATGGAAGTGGTAGATTTAGAATTGGTTGTCATTCTTGTGCTGGAGTTCTTTTGAACGGTGCTCATGGACATAATTTGACTATGTTGACAGGCAGAGGAGAGGAAAAAACAGGAAAGGGAAGCTGCAGAGGCATTAAAACGTGAACAGGAGCTTCGAGAGGCAAAACGGCAGCAACAGAGGCTCAATTTTCTTATTAAACAGACTGAGCTTTACAGTCACTTCATGCAAAACAAGGCTGATTCAAACCCTTATGAAGCCTTGCCGGTAGGAGATGAAATTCTGGTTGACGAAGAGCTCCCAGAACCTTTAGCCGCAGGACCTTCTGAGGTGGAGGATCCTGAAGAGGCTGAAATGAAAGAAGAGGCACTGAGAGCTGCCCAAGATGCAGTGTCTAAGCAGAAAAAGATAACAGATGCATTTGACACTGAATACATGAAACTACAGCAAACTTCTGGCATGGAGGGTCCTTCAAATGATACAGTTTGTGGCTCGGGCAATATAGATTTGCATAACCCGTGAGTTTGTATTCTTGTTATTTTCATATTTTATTGTTTTTATTCTATCAAGCCAACTAAATCTCTCTACTTGCAGATCTACAATGCCTGTTACATCAACAGTTCAGACTCCAGAGTTATTTAAAGGAACCCTTAAAGAATACCAAATGAAAGGCCTTCAGTGGCTAGTCAATTGTTACGAGCAGGTTCACTCAACCTCTATTTACATTTGTTATTTTGTTTTATGGGAACTTATGGATAAAATTCGTTCCTCTGAGGAATCCTCTTTCAGAATGGGTCTGTACTAAGATTATTGTTTGATATACTCCAGGGTTTGAATGGCATACTTGCTGATGAAATGGGTTTGGGTAAGACTATTCAAGCTATGGCGTTCTTGGCACATTTGGCTGAGGTAAATAGTGTTGCTGGTCCCCTATATATTTTTTGTGATTTGGTTATGTTAAAACAATTCGGTCCTCTCACACAGGAAAAGAACATATGGGGTCCATTTCTGGTTGTTGCCCCTGCCTCTGTTCTTAACAATTGGGCTGATGAAATCAGTCGCTTCTGTCCTGACTTGAAAACTCTTCCATATTGGGGAGGATTACAAGAACGAACAATTTTAAGAAAGAATATCAATCCCAAGCGTATGTACCGAAGGTAACGGCAATGCGATATTTTTGAGCTGACAAAGTTAAAAGTTTCTCTGCTGACTCCCCTCTTTTTTCAGGGATGCTGGTTTTCATATATTAATTACCAGCTATCAGCTATTAGTGACTGATGAAAAGTATTTTCGCCGGGTGAAGTGGCAATATATGGTGCTAGATGAGGCCCAAGCAATCAAAAGTTCCACCAGGTTCATACTTTTCCTTCAAGTCAGTTGAATTATGTTGCTTGTTCTCACAAGGATTTCTTTATTTCACTCTCTAATTTTTTTTACCCCTTTTTGCATTTCCTATTCTTCACAAATTTTTTACCCCTTTTTTATTTCACTCTTTAATTCAAATAGTCATTCTTGTGCGATTTTGTTGCCATGCATGAGAATGTTACTTTTGTGAATTTTTTTGTAGATCACTTGAGATGCTAAATTCTCACGCAAGTTCCATTTCCTTTTTTTTCTTTGACAGTATAAGATGGAAGACCCTTCTTAGTTTCAACTGTCGGAACCGATTGCTTCTGACTGGTACTCCAATTCAGAATAACATGGCAGAGTTATGGGCCCTGCTGCATTTCATCATGCCAATGTTGTTTGACAGCCATGATCAATTTAATGAGTGGTTCTCAAAAGGGTTTGTATTATCTCTCTGGTTTAATGGTCATGTAAAAGTATGTAGGGAATTATCTAAGAAATTATTTCTGATACATGATCCACATTGATTTACAGAATCGAGAATCATGCTGAGCATGGAGGCACTTTAAATGAGCACCAACTTAACAGACTGGTGAGATTTCATTTTCTGATTGCAGCATTATTCGGGCGACGCTTCAAGTTCTTTTAGTTTCACTCTGCTTCCTATTTTTAGTTTGCTAGGCTCCTTGGGTAGGGTCTCGCATTATGGTTTCTCTTTCCATTTCCAGTGCATGAAATTAGTCCTTTCTGTTTCTTTCCTTCTTGAGAATTTTAGAAAATGACATTCATGATGCAATGCATATGTCATGAACGAGAAGCTTCCAAGTTAACCAACAATTATAAATCCTAGTCCTGGGGTTCTTTTTTTTTCTTTGCTTCTGACAGCCAATGTTCTGCCTCGTCCTTGTACTGCGTATGCATCTTTTTACCGTGTAAAGTTATTTAGTCACTCACATGTCACATATTGTTTATTTTTCCAAACAGCATGCAATATTAAAGCCATTCATGCTCCGACGGGTGAAAAAGGATGTGGTTTCTGAGCTAACTACAAAAACGGAAGTTACAGTACACTGCAAGCTTAGTTCTCGACAACAAGCTTTTTATCAGGCTATTAAGAACAAAATTTCTTTGGCTGAGTTGTTTGATAGCAACCGTGGACATCTTAATGAAAAGAAGATATTGAATTTAATGAATATTGTCATTCAACTTAGGAAGGTAAGCTCTGTTCACTTCCTGCTTTCATCTTATGCCTTGTCCTGCTTTCCCATACATTATTCAACATGAAGGTGTATCTATCCCTCAAACATCATATATGACAAGACTATGGCTTATGGTACGTATGTGTTTCTGATGTCAGGTTTGCAACCATCCAGAGTTGTTTGAAAGGAATGAAGGAAGCTCGTATCTCTACTTTGGAGTGATTTCCAATTCTCTTTTGCCCCCTCCCTTTGGTGAGCTAGAGGATGTACATTATTCTGGTGGTCAAAATCCAATAATATACAAGGTGCAATTCAATATATTAAAGAAATTACGAGTAAAAGATATCCTCTAGTCTTTGACTGAATCCTGCCTTTGGGTTTCGATCTTATAATTCTCTTTCAGATGCCTAAACTACTATACCAAGAGGTGCTCCAAAATTCTGAAACATTTTGTTCTTCCGTCGGACGTGGCGTATCAAGAGAATCCTTTCTGAAGCATTTTAATATATATTCACCTGAGAATATTCTTAGGTCAATATTCCCATCTGGTAGTAGGGTAGATCAAGTGGTTAGTGAAAGTGGAGCATTTGGCTTTTCACGCTTGATGGATTTATCACCATCAGAAGTTGGATATCTGGCTCTGTGTTCCATTGTGGAAAGGCTATTATTCTCTATGCTGAGATGGGAGCGGCAATTTTTGGATGAATTAGTGGACTCTCTTATGGAATTCACTGATGATGGTCTTAGCAACGATAACATCGAGAGAGTTAAAACAAAAGCTGTCACAAGAATGTTGCTGATGCCATCAAAAGTTGATGTTCTGAAAAGGAGACTTGGCACAGAGGCTACCCGTCCTTCCTTTGAAGCGCTAGTGATCTCTCATCAGGAGAGGCTTCTTTCAAATATCAAACTTCTACATTCTGCGTATACTTTTATCCCAAAAGCCAGAGCTCCACCGGTATGTTTTCTTTGAATTTTGAAGTCGGCAACTATAAATTTGGGTAGTTCTTTACTAAGTCTTCTCAACCATGCTTTATTTGAACTTGCATTTTTCAGGTAAGCATTCATTGCTCGGACAGAAATTCAGCATACAGAGTTACAGAAGAATTACATCAACCATGGCTTAAGAGACTATTAATTGGTTTTGCACGAACGTCAGAAGCTAATGGACCCAGGAAGCCAGACAGCTGTCCACATCCTTTAATCCAAGAAATTGATTCAGAACTTCCAGTTGTGCAACCTGCGCTTCAACTTACACACAGAATATTTGGTTCTTGCCCTCCAATGCAAAGTTTTGACCCAGCAAAGTTGCTCACGGTAATTTCTCTCTGTTGCAACTTCTTTTTAGACTTAGTGGCCTTAATATGAGCTCTTGTTTCTTATCACAAAATTGGATTGTAGGACTCTGGGAAGCTGCAGACACTTGATATATTGTTGAAGCGGCTTCGAGCTGGAAATCACAGGGTTCTCCTGTTTGCACAAATGACAAAGATGTTGAATATTCTCGAGGTACTTGACACAAGCCTTTGACCCCACTGTACAAATCAGTTTGTGATTTTACATATAACAAACATCCTATACCTCTGCTTTACATTTCGATTTAATGTTTATGCAGGATTACATGAACTATAGAAAGTACAAGTACCTCAGGCTTGATGGATCCTCCACCATCATGGATCGCCGAGATATGGTTAGGGATTTTCAGCAGAGGTAGGATTTAACTTTCTCAAGCCTTTCTTTACATGTCCCCGTGAGCCTTGCTGTGCACAAGTGTAAACCCTACATGGTTGCAGGAGCGATATTTTTGTATTCTTGCTGAGCACCAGAGCTGGAGGACTTGGTATCAACTTGACGGCTGCAGACACTGTCATTTTCTATGAAAGTGATTGGAATCCCACCTTGGATTTACAAGCTATGGACAGAGCTCATCGTCTTGGTCAGACAAAAGATGTCAGTGATTCTCTCTGTCTTTTTATTCTTCTAATATCTTTCATACCCAAACAATAAACTGTGCATTGATCATCAATTCCTTTGTTGTTTCATTATATAACCAAAACTTCAAGCAATTAAACAAGCATCTGCTGATATGATGATCTTATATCTTGTCTGATCTCGTATTCTGAAACGAAAACCTCTTTTAGGTTACTGTTTATCGCCTAATCTGCAAGGAAACGGTGGAAGAGAAAATTTTGCACAGGGCAAGTCAGAAAAATACAGTTCAGCAGCTTGTTATGACGGGAGGTCATGTTCAGGGTGATGATGTTTTTGGAACTGCGGATGTGGTATCGTTGCTTATGGATGATGCAGAGGCAGCACAACTGGAGCAAAAATTCCGAGAACTACCGTTACAGGTGAGGACAGCATTCTGATTACTTCTAGTTAAAATAAAAAAGAGAAGGTAACTTAAAAATGGTACTAAATTCTGTCACTCATAACTTCGTTTCGTCTTACAGGTAAAGGACAGGCAGAAGAAAAAACAGCCAACGAAATGTATCAGAATAGATGCTGAAGGAGATGCAACTTTGGAAGAGTTAGAAGAGGCTGAACGACAGGATAACGGACAGGAACAACCTCCCCAAGAACCGGAGAAATCAAAACCCAGTAACAAAAAGGTATGATGAGTTAGTCTACCTATGTAGCTTGTCTTGGTGCTAAGTTGATAACTTTTGGCTTGAGTATTTGCTAAAAATCATATGTTAATTGCGGTGATCTGCAGAGGAAAGCTGTTTCAACTCCGAAACCTAGAGCTCCTCAGAAAGCAAAGGAAGAAGCGAATGGTGAAGGTGATACTCCTCTTCAGCCTCAAAGGACAAAAAGGGTAAAGAGACAAACAAAGAGCGTAAACGAGAGTCTCGAACCTGTCATCCCTGCGTCAGTTACAGCAACGAATAGAGAGTTCGATCCAAGCAACTCCAAGGCAGATGCTAACTAATCCGAGAATGGTTTAGAGCTTCAATAGATGTTAACTTCAGGTTTTAGCAAATGGCTCCTAGTCCAAGTGTACAGATTATTATTCCAGTATTACTCTTTAAAGTTCATGGGTCTTGAGTAGAAGTTAATGGTACATATATGTATATATATTATTATCGATTTAACGATAAACGTCTATCATTAATCGTAACACAATCTTATTTATTACAAATTTTGAAGTACTATGAAGCAGTTTTAGCAATTCAAATACTTTGGTTTACTTACGATTATTGTTAATAGTCGCTTTTGAACCATGACACTCCCAATCATCATTATTACATAAGATTTTGATAATTCTTATCACTAATAATCCCCTTATCTTGTAAATTTCTTGAGTTTTAACACTTGGGATAAGGAATACCACAAGCCTCTAGAAGTTTGTGAGCATTTTCTAATGTAACAAAGTGACCAAAAGTTGGTGATTTTATGTAACCACAAAGACAAGACTGCTGCTCTTTCAGTTTCTCGCAACAATATTCCGGCGGCTTACTTCCTTTGAGTATCGCTGGTAGGCACGACATGAGCTCTGTCGCGACGCACGCCATTTTCTCCTCTCTCTCCAAAACAGCTGCTTTGGTCAGAGCCAATGATGACATATTGAAGACTATCACAAATGTGATGAGTATTAATGATCTTGTGAGCTTCATGCCTTCAAACCTTATTTTGGTTTCCTCTTCTCTAATTTTTACAGAATTTTTGAGATTTTGATTTTTGGAGTTTTTAGGGATGGTAAAATTACCACGTATAGATGTGGTTTTAAATGGTGTTGACAATTTTAAGATAAAAATGGAAAAGAATTTTAGTAAATATTTGGATGTATTTAACTAGAAACAAATTAAATGTATATATACTATATATGTCTGGATTTTTGCCTTATTACTTTACTTACAATTTTTGTATGAAAGGAGACGTGCAGATATTCA